TTCTAAATAAGCAGTCCTTCGTCCTTCAGACTGGGTTCACGAGTAGCTACATGGAGCGTGTTTCTTTTTCTTGCTTTCTCTCTGTCTTTCAAAATAAATGTATCTACTGTGTAAGTGTCAAGCACTGCCCTTACATTTGAGGGTACGCAGATAAATTCAGTCACAGACCTCAAGGGGCTCATAATTCAGGGCTCAGAAGTCTAAGAATAGAGACAAGGGCCAGGTGCAAGTGTGGGCCAGAGGGAAGAGGGATGGATCACAGCTGGTGTCAGGGAAGTCTTCACTGTGATGATATTTGAGTCTTTGAAAATATAAAATGGACACTGAGAATCCTATCACCAGAAAGGAAACACTGAATATTTGCAAGATGCAAAGCAATACTTCCAAGATGCAATACTTCTAAGATGCAAAACTGGGACTTTGAGAAAAGCCTACAGATTCAAGTGTGGATCAGCAGCTTGAGTGATATTGGTTCTGTCAACAATTTACTAGGTACTTTAGGCTCGCCCCTCAAGCGTCCCATAATTTCAGGGTGCCTCCTAAATAGAAATGAAAATATTATTAGAAAGTTCGTTTAAATAAACCTCCTATATAAAAAAAAGACCTCTTTCCAATTTGTTGAAATAAGAGAGTCATAATATTTATTTCATCAAGGGGGTGTGAGGCTTAGTCAGGATTCATTTACTTCATTACTCCTTCTAGGGCACTTGAAAATTTATATAATCCCATTTGTGGTTTGTCAGACCAGACTTCATGAGGATTTGAGGAGAAATTGTATAAATGTGAATGTTTTTATCGAGTTTTTCTCTTCCTTCTTTCAAGTATAACTAGCCTTACTCTAGCTTTTCCAACCCTCCACTCCTCTCTGCATCCTCTGCCTCATTAATCGCTACAGAACCTTCCTTAGTGGCAGGACCCCCCATCTCCTCTACACTTACTTCATTCACTGTGCTCTTATTGCAAGTCTGGTTTGCATGCTTATGTGTTTCCTCAAGTAGACTGTGAACAACCAGAGGGTGTCAACCATCTCTTACCTGTTTTTTTTTTTTCTTTTTTTTTTGAATCTCCAGCACAACTAGTTACACAGTGACTAGCAGAGAAGAGGTGATTAAATAAAGGTTTGTTAAGTGAATGAGCGCCCAAACCCTCTGCTGTTGTTACAAGACAAAACCCAGCCTGTGCTCTCTGACGATGCAGCCTATCCTCCTGTTCTTCAGCTGCAGCTCACTCTACCCCAGGACCTCCCCTTTCTGACTACCTGAATTTTATCTATTATTTAAGGCAGAGGTTCCCAACCTTGGCTGCACATTAGAATCACATGGGAGAGCTTTACAAATAAAATAAACATGGATGCTCAGCTCTACTGGTAGAGATTTTGATTTAACTGGTCAGGGTGGGGCACTGGCATTGGTATAAATGCTCCTGTGATGAGCCTTAAGTGCAGCCAGGTTTGAGAACCACTGATTTTTTTCTTTTTCTTTTTTTTTTTTTTGAGACAGAGTCTTGCTCTGTCACCTAGACTTGAGTGCAGTGGTGCAATCTCTACTCACTGTAACCTTTGCCTCCTGGGTTCAAGCGATTCCCTTACCTCAGCCTCCTGAGTAGCTGGGACTACAGGTATGCGCCATCATGGCAGGCTATGTGGTTTTTTTTTTTGTATTTTTAGTAGAGATGGGGTTTTACCATGTTGGTCAGGCTGGTCTTGAACTCCTGATCTCAGATGATTCACCCACCTCAGCTCCCAAAAGTGCTGCGATTACAGGCATGAGCCACTGCATCCTGCCGAGAATCACTAATTTTAAGGTAATACTCAAGTCTCACCTTTTCCTGAAAAGACTTAATATGTCTCTGATGATGTTACCTTCCTTTGGATTCAAAGCAGTTACTGTTTTAACCACTCATTAGACAACAAATCAAACACTGCCTTGTGGCAGTGCCTCAGTATTAGTTTGTTTGGACCTCGAGGGCAGGAACTAGTCTTTACTTCTTCATATGCCCATGCCATGCACAGGGTAGACCAAAACATATTTTTGATGGTTTAAAACAACAACAACTACAAAAAGTAGGAGAGGCCATTTTAATTCTACTCTAAGAACATATCTTTGGTAAGAATAAAAATGTTGCAAAAAGGGTGGGGCAGGACTGAAGCAGAGCAGGAAAAGAGTAAATAAAAGTCAAATGGAAAAAAAGCTAAATTAGTCCAAAAGAAAATGTTTTCCAGCTTCTTAAGAGAGTTTTTGCAAACACTGAAGCAGAATAAGCAAGAGAATTAACTTGGCTTGTGGCCCTGATAAGGAGATTTCTTTCTTGGTTCTAAAATTTTGCAAAGTTTCCAGGGTGTAAAGAAAATAATCAGCCAGGGAGGACTCCTTCCCTCGGACGACACAATTCAGTTCTTGGGTTAATCGGCTTGAAGGTCTGCTCAGCTTGACCTGACCCCCTTCCAGGACTGTGATCTGAAACTAAGCCTCACATTCAAGAGCCCTGGTGTAGAGCTCAATGTCATAGAAACGGGATAAAACATAATCCTCATCCCATAACCTTGATCCCTGGGTGTAGTGGCCTCTGCTAGGGCATTGAAAAAAAAACCTAAAAATCAAAAAACTATACCTGTTATCTTCTCTAAGTGGCTGGTGTCCCAGAGGTCTAACTACCCTAGAATGATCCAGGCACGTTCTGCTACTAAATGGTGTTATAAGGAAGTACTACTTGGTGCAATTACCTTAAATGTTAGCTTTAAAGTACTGTTTTGTGCACATATCCCAGAAAAGGCTTAGCTTCATACGGCTTCTATAGTTTTTCATAAAAAAAAAAAACCACAGGGAAGACTCAGGGAATCACGAAGCACACCCTCTGCTAAGGCAAGATAAGGTCACCAGACAGAGACACGTTTTCTATATCAAACTTTATTCCAGTTATTAGGTCACAGGTTTAACAACTGGTCCCTAAAGGCATGCATATTTCTATCGATTAATTAAATGTATGTTCTTTGCCTGGGTTGGCCATTTTAACACTGGCCATGTTTTACATTAATTGTTTGAAAACATGATTCCAAGGCATCTTATTGCTTAGTAATGATAGTAACAAGTTGTCTTTTGTAAATTAAGATAACATGACTGACCCATCTAATGGGATGTGAGTTGATGAACTGTCACTGATCCATCCACACTTTGCTCCTGGTTCTCCTTATGACCACTGGCCTGCATTTGACCTTGTCAGCCAAAAGCCAAGAGCCACTAACATCCTCCAGTCACCAAAGAAACATAAAAAAATAGCATTTGTCCTACCAGCTACTTCCTGTTGACACTGACTGGTTAATTTATTAAAACAAAAGAAAAAGTAAAATATGGCTCTGACTTCTTTATTCACTTATAAATTCTAACTGGAATTAGTAAAACTAGGATTTAGGAGCCTTGATTTCATGATACCATATATAATAGACGAAGTCATAAACTCCGTGTGTAACCGTAAGAATGGCTTCTAAAATCTAAAATCTAAAGCAGAGACAAACTACAAGTTTTGAAGGAGTGGGATCAAGGATCCATGAAAATGAATGAGTCAACACTGATTCACGAGGAATTTTGCTTCCTCTGATAAAGTTTACATAGGCGTGTTTGACAATCCTTAATGATATCCCTGAAAGGTGCAACACAGCTATTTAGCATGATTTACTACCAAAGGCCATTAGATTCTCCAGGAATATTTTGGAATGTGTTCCACTAAAAAGAGAAATAATAGCTTCAGAACCTGGGATACCAGACTCATCAGGGAAAAGGTACCATTGAGGTAATGAGCAGTCCAGGGCCTGAAAACTCAAGAATGTTTCCCTGAATAGAAACAAGCAACTCTATCTTCTCAGGCATGGCTGACTTGATCACCAAGCTGGAATATTATTTACATAGTCCAAGGCAAACCAGGAAGAATTCTCTGGTTTCTAAGCAAGGGCATTTGGAAAATTATGTCTAAAACAGGCAATAGCTGACGCCTGTTTTTGATGATTCCTGCTTCCTTGGAAAAGAGCCAGTTTACCTAATGCAGGTAAAGACAACAACAACTTTTCTGCCATTTTCTCCAGAAAGGATCACCAGAGTGACATTTCATGCCTCTGTATCTAAATAGCCTGGATTTGATATATATTTAGCAAGGTGGGCAAATCTGGCTTCTGAATTCTGTCCTATCCAAAAAATCAAAATAATCACCCATCTTCTTCTTCCTCCTGCTTTTAGGAGAAACTAGATTGAATCTGGTCACACAGCAGGATACAATTGAGGTTAGTCATCAGGAAAAAGACATTTTTTTATTGTGAAACATTTTACCAAAGCTTTACCAAAGAAGTCAGACAGTGGTGTCCTTTTCTTTGGAATGAAGAATGAAGAGAGAAGACTTAAAAGGAGGTAGAAGGTAAACTTTCTGGATGTAAGGGAAGGATTCTCACTTTTGGCCAGTATAGAAACCACAAATAGGGAACTCTGAGACAGTGATCAACCATTTGGAGGTCTTTCTAGCATCATTCAGTACTTTACACTACAGGCGTATGCATTAATGCAAAAGTACTTATTGTCTGGGGAGTAGTTTATTCACTTGGCAGCATCTGTTGGCCTAAGATTTTCAAGGTACACATACTCCAAGAAAAAGCATCATCATTATTTAATTCATATGCAAATTATCTAATCCTCAACAAATACATTCTAAGTGAAATTATCATTTAGAGATAGAGAATTGGATACCCTTAGAGACGTGGTCCTTGGTCACTTACAAATATCAGAGAAATGCTGACTTTGTGGGAATCAATTTTTATATATTTTCCTGTGTGTGACTTGTCTCCCCACTTTATTATAACTGCTGTTGGGACAAGCAGAAATGCTGGTTTCTTTATGTCCTACTAGCCAGTGCTGGCCCAGGACAGACAATGTGGCCAGCATTTTCAGAAGATGCTCAGATTGCTCAGTACATCTCATTCCCCAACCTTCATAGTCAGAGAATACTGTCAAAGCACTCACCTGTCTTCTCTCTGAATCAAGGTACTGGAGGATCAGCCGGGTATTCACACTGTGACTCCAGGTATTTCCTAGTGCAGCTATCACACAGCTGGATCCAGAAGTGCCTGAAATGAAATGGTAAAAGCATGCTTTCAGATGCCCTTTCTTGAGATGGCATTTCACATGAAGTTCAGACATTACTCATTGCCCAGAGAGCACTTGGAGGCTCAGTTCATTACCACAGAACTTGAGGAATTAGTGAAGTAGGACAGGGGTTAAGGAATATAAGACAACAAACCAGCAGGGGTTTCCTTCAGCCTGGGTGAAAGTGACCACTACTGGGCCAAATAATAACAGAGTTATATATCAAAAAGAGGTTGCATTGCAAGACAGCTCAGAGCCATTGCTACTAGTAAATGTAGCCATTCAATATCAAAGGCATAATGCTACTCCACAGAATAAGAACCAGTTATGAAATAGTCTTAGTTTAATGGAGTTGTTAGACATTTTTAGCTTGACAAGAGTCTTAACTCAATTTTCCTTATCAATATAGAAATGGTGGCATATACATATAAAATTCCCTTGTCCTCCCACCCCTTGTATACACACACCCAAAAAAGGAATCTGGAAGATCTCAAAATTTCATAGGTAATCTGTTTTAGACATTCCTATTCCAAGAAAAACATTCCTTTACCTTCTAAGACTTTCCTATAAGGAGGAGGGTCTGAAGTAAACTTTATCTGAGTTCCTAGCCTCCTCCAAGTTGCATCTTACATCTCCAAAGCTTTGCTGACCCTTCTTGACATCACCATGAGAAAACCCTTTCTGCTCCCTACCTCCTCCTTCCCCCTTGAAGGCAAGCCAGCAAGTCCTGCTGTATAGAAGCCAGCTCCCACTATCATGTCTAGCACATCCCATGGCCTCCTCTGAACCCCTGTGCCCTGTGCCCGAGGGCTCTTCTGAACCCACTTTGGCCCTGGGCCATGACAGGAATCCTAACCTTAGGAGGGCACAGTTGGGCATTTAGTGTGCCTTGTAGCCTCCAGATATGATCTTTTTTCTATGAGGAGACTACATACAGGTTGAAGTCCACTTAATTAGTTAAAACAAAATGAGGTCTTGAGTGTGTCATCTGTTGCCCCCTTACTGCATCATCTGATTTGTATGCCTCAGTGTGGAGTAGGAATTGGTCTTTTGTTTCCAGGGCAAACACCTTCCAGAGTGGTCTACTAACTGCACATGGCCTTAAGCACCTGGGCCCAAATGCTACAATAGACAAATGTAGTTCAGTGGTTCTTGGTTGGAGGGTGGTTTAAAGTGTTCGCAGTGTTACTGGCATCTAGAGGGTAGAGGCTGGTGATGCTGCTAACCATTTTATAATGCTTAGGACAGCATCCTACAACAAAGAATTATCCAGCCCAAAATATAGCAGTGCTGAAGTTGAGAACCCCAGGGTCAGATAACACCAACCATATCTATATATTTCCTGGTTCAAGCAGGAACAGGAATGAATGAGATGGAAATCAATAACCAACGTCTCAACAAGCCTGGGGATATCAGATTGAAGGAGAATTCAGGGTAAGAAAGAATAAAATTTGGGGTAACCTCAGTTCATCATGCACACAGTTCAAAATATGCACAAATTAATGTGAAAACAAATAATCTAGATTGTTCCGATCTGATCACATCATTCCCCTACTTAAAACGCCTTCAGTAGTCCTTCATGCCTGAGATTAAATACTGTCTCCTGAACAATGCACGCTGAGCACTTTGTCAGCTGCCTCTGCATCTCTCTCTGGCTTCACCTCTCTCAGCCCCCTCACTGGATGGTCTCCCATGACCTCCTGACTTCCCTGGCCTCATCCTCCTTGACCTCTTGTCAGCAGTTGATAAAGCTTCCCCCTTCCTTGGCATCCAATCTACTGGCCTCTTCTGCTTCTCCTTTTACCATGTTGATTACTCCTTTCCTTTCTCTGCCTTTGTTTTCTCTTTCTTCTTAGTTGTGGGTGGACCTTAGGGAGTGGGGCATGACCACATTTTTTCTTGTCTAATACCAAATGCTTTCAGTGTCCAGGAAAATAATGTACATTAGTAAAGAGGCCAGGTGCTTGCATATTAACATGTAGAAATTCTTTACCCACACTAAGAGAGACAGTCTTTACCATTTTTCTTGAAATTCACAACCCTCTCCATCTGACTTTTTACTTTCCCTTTTTTGATAGAAATAGACTTATAGAAAAATATTTTCTACTATAAGAAAACCAACACTGCAAGGGCAATAGCAACTACATTTGCATTTTAGAAAAACAGCTCTATTGAGATAATTTGCTATCATACATCCTCTAATTTCAAGTGGCTTTTGCTATATTCACAGAGATGTTCAGCCATCACCACCATTAACTGTAGAACATTTCATCCCCCTAAAAAGAAATCCCACACCCACTGGCCACCAGTTCCCAACACCCCATTCCCTGCCTACCTCCAGCTCTTGGCAACCATTAACCTATTTTTTCTTTTTCTCTATAGATTTAGTAACTGACTTTCAATTAAAGCCTTAGGAGATGAGGGGAAGTGGTGAGTACTGTGGTGAGTTCGAGAATTCATCCAGGATCTCAAGGGGGCAGTCTCTGTTCAGCTCTAGCTGTTGTTGTCATGTGGCAATGTGAGTTCATAGTTAGTCACATCTTATTTATTTATTTTAAAATTGTAAAAAACTTTTACAATCACATCTTTTGATTTTTAAAAATCATAGTGATATGATTTTTTAATTGTGCTAACATCAAAGTGCAATTTTGATTTTTAAAACGGAAGCCAGAAATCAACGCTTTAAGTATAATTTCCTGATTTTAAAATGTTGGTTTAATATGTATACTTCTAAAAACACACAAATAAACATGTTTTTGAGCCAGATATGCCTCATTCCCATCAAGCCTGCAGTGTCTGCTCTACATGGCATGGCTCCACTTTGAAAAGGATGAGAGCCCGTTCCACAAGGTGGATGGTTTCTACGCCTTTGTCTCAACCTTTGGCTTGTCTCAACACTTGTCTTCCATTTTTAACCACAAGAACTGCAAGCCTACATCATAAATTTTAGCACTGCAGATTCAGTATCATCGAAGCAAGCTCATATTTTCCCATATAAATCTACTCCTCCATCTCTGTTCCTTCCTTTGACCCTCCAGTTAATCTGGTTTAAAACCTCAGCTCCATTTTTAAAATATTTCCTTCTCTCCTGCTTCTTCTCACTTGCAATGAATTGAGAGGTGTTACTGATTTAACTGTAAAATCCTACCTATATCCATCCATTCATTTCTCCTACCTCACCCTTAGATCCATTCCTAACTCTCCATTCCCCCTAACTCAACCTTAGACCCACATTAGCTTTCACCTGGTGTGACTGCTTTAGTTGCCTATTGTCCATGCTGCTGTCACTTTCTCCCTATTAAAGCCATCCTCTGTTTTACTACTTGATTAACCTCCTCCAAGCACACACCTAAGCATACCACCCTCCCATTTACAACCATCATGCTCAAAAACTTTCAGTGGCTCCCAAGTGCCTTCAGAGAATTCTAAATTCCTAACACTGGCATTCAAGAACTTTCTACCCTGTGCCCACCTGCCCTTCCAGACTTCTTCCCCCTGCTCCATTTCCCACATCTGTGTTCCTACTTAATCACTTATTTCCCATGTCCCTCCCTCATCTGGAACTCCCCTATGTTCACATGTCCCAAATCTACTCTGCCTTCAATGCTACTTTCTATGTGCCAATTTCTCTAATCTTCACAGAAATAATGTCTTCCTCCTGTAAACTTCTATAATACTTTATTTTACTGTCTCATATTACAATCATTTTCTACCTGTGGTATATTATTTGTGTGTTTTTCTTATCAACTTTAATACAGAGTTATGCTCTGCATAATGATGTTTCAGCAAATGACAGACTGCAAATATGACAGTGGCCCCATCACATTATCATGCAGCTGATAAATTCCTATCACTCAGTGATGTCACAGCACTGGTAACATCATAGCACAATGCATACTCGCATGCTTGTGGTGATGATTGGTGAATAAACCTACTGTGATGTCAGCTGTATAAAAGTACAGCACTTACAATTATGTATAGTACATAATACTTGATCTTACTAGAGTATATGTATTTACTATACTTTTAATCAATATTTTAGAGTCTATTCTACTTTTAATAACCAGTTTAGTAAATATAAAAACCAGTTATATAGCTACTATACTTTTATGTATTTACTATATTTTTATTGTATCTATATTTATGTATTTACTATATATACTTTTATATAGTTTATGTATTTACTATACTTTTAATGTATTTACTATACTTTTAATTATGATTTTAGAGTATATTCTACTTATTTTTGAAAGTTAACTGTAAAACAGCTTCAGGCAGATCCTTCAAGAGGTATTGCAGAAGAAGGCATTGTTATCATAGGAGATGACAGTTTTATGTGAGTTATTGCCCCTGAAGACTTTCCAGTGAGACAAGATGTGGGGGTGAAAGACAGTGATATTGATGATATTGATCCTGTGTAGTCCTAGGCTAATGTGTGTGTCTGTGTCTTAATTTTTACCAAAAAAGTTTAAAAAGGTAAAAAAAACTCAAAAACAGAAACAAGCTTATAGAATAAGGATATAAAGAAAATGTTTTTGAACAGCTATGCAATGTTTATATTTCAGTTATGTTATTAAAAGATCAAAAAGTTAAAAAAATTAAAAAATTAATAAAGTAAAAAAGTGATAGTAATCAAAGGTTGTTACTAAAGAAAGAAAAATGCCTCCATCAATGAATGTAGCCTAAAGATACGGGGTTTATGAAGTCTACAGTGGTGTACAGCAGTGTCTTAGGGCTTCATGTTCACTCATCACGAGGTGCACTCACCAACAGACCCAGAGCAACTCCACTCCTATAAGCTCCAGTCATAGTAAGCGCCCTACACAGGTGTATCATTTTTCATCCTTTTACCATTTTTATTGTACCTTTTCTGTTTAGATGTGTTTAGATACACAAATACTTACTATTGGGTTCCAATTGCCTATAGTATTCAGTACAGCAACATGCTGAATGGGTCTGTAGACTAGGAGCAATGGGCTAT